TCTGTGTGCTGGCATTTCAGCCACTGGTGCAAATCCTTCAAAAATTGACTCCTTGTAGCTCCTAGAAAACTGGATAGAAATTAGAACAATTGTCTGCTTCAGAGTGAAGCTTTAGTTTGGTTTGGGACCACTTCCTCCCAACCCAGATAACTTTTTGCTGCTATCACTTTAGCTGTCACTGCATGCTCAAGGGCAGAGAGTCCTGTGGTAAAACACAGGTATAGTTGACTGTGAGGTTCACTTGTGGCAGAGCTGCCCACAGTGCTGACTAGCCAGCCTGGGGAGTAAATGAAGTAAAACTAGAATCCATCACCTCCATGAGCCAGTATGGTTCATTACACAAGCTCTGAAACTAAACTTCTCATATTGTAAATTTAAAATGGAAATGTGAATGTTTACCTGGTAGGATGTCCTTCCTCTTGTTGGGAAGAAGTTCTTTCCTGTGAGGGCGGTGAGCCACTGGCACAGGTTGCCCATAGAAGCTGTGGATACCCCATCCCTGGCAGTGTTCAAGGCCAGGTTGAATGGGGCTTTGAATGACCTGGTCTAATGGAAGGTGTCCCTGCCCATGGCATGGGGGCTGGAGCTAGATTATCTTTAAGGTCCCTTCCAACACAAACCATTCTATGATTCTATGATTTTATGATTCTATGATCTTCAAGTTTCATAAAGGATGAGGAAAACCTACCAGAAAAAGCAATCAAATCTTAGGAGATTAAGGGAGATCCCTTTTGTCCATATCTGCTGGAGAAGAAGTTGAGAAAAAGTCCATTATGCCCAGACAAATAGAAAAGAGTGCCTGGCTGCACCTGTGTAATCCACCACCATATCAGTCTGGGCCAGGCTAACACATGTGAGAGCACCATAGCTCAGCTCAGAGTGTAGCAGTGATACCAGACCACTGCAGTATGTGAGTTGCTGAGGACTCAGGCACAGACTACCACAGGCTGTTTTCACAAATTTCTAAATTAGAAGGAACCATTTATTAGAAGGAAGAAGGCAGAGAGTTGTGGTCAATGGGGCAGAATCTAGCTGGAGGTCTGTGACTAGTGGAATCCCTCAGGCGTCGGTGCTGGGACCAGTGCTGTTTAATATTTTCATCAACGACCTGGATGAGAGAACTGAGTGTACCCTCAGCAAGTTTGCTGATGATACTAAACTGGGAGGAGTGGCTGACACACCAGAGGGCTGTGCTGCCATTCAGCGAGACTTGGACAGGCTGGAGAGTTGGGCAGGGAGAAACTTGATGAAATTCAACAAGGGCAAGTATAGAGTCTTGCATCTGGGGAAGAACAACCCCATGTACCAGTACAGGTTGGGGGTTGACCTGCTGGACGGTAGTGAAAGAGAAAGGGACCTGGGGGTCCTGGTGGATAGAGAATGACCATGAGCCAGCAATGTGCCCTTGTGGCCAAGAAGGCCAATGGCATCCTAGGGTGCATTAGAAAGGGTGTGGTTAGTAGGTCAAGAGAGGTTCTCCTCCCCCTCTACTCTGCCTTGGTGAGGCCGCATCTGGAATATTGTGTCCAGTTCTGGGCCCCTCAGCTCAAGAAGGACAGGAAATTGCTTGAAAGAGTCCAGCGCAGAGCCACAAAGATGATTAAGGGAATAGAACATCTCTCTTATGAGGAGAGGCTGAGGGAGCTGGGACTCTAGCTTGGAGAAGACTGAGGGGTGACCTCATCAATGTTTACAAATATGTAAAGGGTGAGTGTCAGGATGATGGAGCTAGGGTTTTTTCAGTTATGTCCAGTGATAGGACAAGGGGCAATGGGTGTAAACTGGAGCATAGGATGTTCCATGTGAACATCAGGAAGAATTTCTTTACTGTGAGAGTGACAGAGCACTGGAACAGGTTGCCCGGGGGAGTTGTGGAGTCTCCTACGTTGGAGATATTCAAGGCCCGCCTGGACAAGTTCCTGTGTGATGTACTCTAGGTTACCCTGCTCTTGCAGGAGGGTTGGACTAGATGACCTTTTGAGGTCCCTTCCAACCCTTAGGATTCTGTGATTCTGTGATTTCACAGAATGACCCATAATCACAGCAGGTTTGAGGTGTTTTGAGACACTCCAGATGTGTCTCACCAGCTCTGAGTAGAGGGGAAGAATCATGTCCCTGCTCTAATGCAGTCCAGGAAGCTGTTTGCCCTCTTTGCTACAAGGGCACATTGCTGGCTTATGGTTGAATGCGGTGACCACCAGGGCTTCCAGGTCCTTTTCTGGAGAGCTACTGTGCTCCTCCTTGGTTCCCCATGTGTACTGATGCATGGTGCTGCTCCTACCCAGGATCAGGACATTGCACTTCCTGCTCTGAAACTTCACGAGGTTCTTGTCAGCTCATTCCTTCAGCCTCTTGAGGTCCCTTCGGATACATCTGTCTGGTCTATCATACACTTCTGAGTTTGAGTTCCCTACAAACTTGCTGAAGGAGAAGTTTGTCCCATCATCCCAATCATTAAGAACTTTCAAAGTTTTCAGTGCAGTAGATGCCTGCTCAGTTGTGAAGATGATATGTGTATTACCGTACTGAATATCTCACGAGGAACTGGTAGATCATACTAGTAATTGTGTGGCAATGATAGTGATTTTTTTCTTCTCTATGTGGATTATAAAAGTTTTGATGGCCTTTGCTTGAATTGTGTGGTATAAGCAATTAATGGTTAAGTTCTGTCACCACACAAATCATATGCCTTTTTTTTTTTTTCCCATGGCAAGAAACCAGTCTCTAATAAGTTGTTAGTATCCCTCTCCACAGAATCAAAGTGACACGTGATATGCAACACTATGGATATCTAGAACATACTGGGAAAAACTAAATTATGTCCCTTGTTGACACTTTATTCAAGCTCAAAGTCTGTTTACAGACCAAAGAGTTCAGGGTTAGCTGGCCAAAATCTGTCTGGTTTTCCCCACAGTACTGGATAACTCTCCAATGCCTCATGCCTTTTGAGATTAACTATCAGAACCATAGATCTGATGGTCTGAAACCTCAGTAAACCTTTCAGATGCATGAAAAGTCCACTTAGCTCCCTGGCACTTCTTCTACAGACTAATTCTTCAGGACTAGGCATGTGAACAAGACTGCCAGAAGAAGACAACAGGGAGGAACATCTGGTGCTCTCCATAGCTAGAAGCTATCTTTGGCAGACAGGAAATTTCAGCACAGGAAGGAGGAGCATGCTCTGGCACTCATGTGGAAATTCAACTGGTCACAGATAATGTCTTTCGAAACTGGTCAGATACTGTGGAAAAGACAAACTTCTAACCTGAGTAATAATCAGCCTCCTCAATAATCTTTCTGTTGCACTTTATGGATGGAAGGAAATTAAGGTGTTTTCACTTCTGGTTCTTTGAATGCCATCTCAAAGACATGCTGAGTGATGCAATATACAAATCCCACTCCTACAGAGTGAATGAATACTTGAAAGCTAAATCTGCCCATCAATACCTGAGAGAAATGTCAGACTTGGAAGGAAAGCTCCAAAGAGAAAAAAAGTACCCACATGCTGACAGATCAGGCTTTCATTTCCCATTTGTTGATGAGAAATGAGATGAAGGTGATAACTTCTTGAAAGACAGTTGTATATTGATCCCCTTCCTCAGGAAAGGAAGATGTGATGTGTGATAACTTCTTAGCTGCCCCCTGTGCTTCTTATGCACTGGGAGTGGTAAGCAAGGTTTCCACATGAGTTGAGCTGTAGCCCTTGAAACCCAGCAGCTCCCTGCAACAAACACCTGCGTGTATACATTGTCTGACCCACCAACCCACCACTGTAACTAATCTCAGAATCAACAGGACTTTAATATTTTATCTTTTTTTTTCTGAGAGTGAAGTGTGATTTGTTCTAATCAAACAGGTCAACAGCACTCAGTCATATAAATCAGATCCTTACTGCCAAACCAAGATTTCCTCCAGGTTTTAACTTTGACCCAGTAGCTAAAAAGAACCTCCCTACTTCTTTTACTTTCGCTCTCAGCCTGGGCTGTCCTCTGTGTCCACCCAACATGGATCACCTTTTTCAGTCTTGCAGGCCCATCCAAGCCCACGTTGCTAGCTTCTGTGTCACAATCTCATGTATTCATAGTGCAGCTAAGAGCTTCTCTTCTACTTGAGGAGCTATTCAGTATGCTGTTTTCTGAACCCCAGGAAGAAGTGCCGGTGTTACACTGCACTTTTCTGGAAGACATCTTTCATTCCTAGTAGCCTGATTTTAAGCCCTCTCCTTCTCTATGTTAACCCACACACCTCTTGGCTTATTCCTCAAACCATGCCAAGAATCTGCACCTCAGCTGCATGGCTTAGACATTGACACATGGCCGCTCTGTCACCAAAGCAGGAAGTTTGTCAAGCATATAAGTGAATTACATTTTTCCCAATCTTGGTGATGTAAAAATGTTTTCACCTTATGTTTCCTATCTCAAAATTTGCTCATACAATTTCTTCACTAAAACTACATTATCATGATTCATAAAGGAAATATTTATTTAAAAGATATTTCTGATAGTGTTCTTAACCTGGTATAGTCCAAAAATGTTAGAATGAAATCGTTAATTAGAGTCTAATTTACTAACACAAATAGTCCCATTGATTTCAATAGAATTACATGAATTAGTGAAATGAGCAAGTTTTCCCTGAGGTAAGCCTTTAAATTAAAAGTTGATGGAAAATTTGATATATGGAACTGTTGACTGAATTTGAAATATGCAGCTATGATTCTGGACTCATTTTTCACTGTAAGACTTGGTGTGCTTGATTAAGTATATTTTACCCAACAGAGAAGAAAGGAGTGTCTTATTAGAAAAATGAAATGTCAGCATATTTCTGCATTTCTCCTCTCTGCTCTTCATTTGAAATAACTGATTGTTTTAATCTGTTGAATTTAAGAAAAAAAAAGAAATGATTGTAGAAATTTAGGTCAAAATATTTTGGCATAATCTTTTGAATTAGGTAGATTCTTATCTGCTTTGTGTTATTTATTGTTTGACATATTTGATTTGTAGCACCTAAAAGCCTGGATGAAGATGGCAAACCCACTGTGCTATGCATGCCAAATCCTGCTTTCAGTGGAGCAGCAAACAGATTTCATGGCCCATAACAACATCTACTATATGCACAAATGCAAAGATGTACATTCCACAAGCATGTGTATGCCTACGCAGGTGGTTGTGAGTGTGCGCGGACACACATGCTCATGGACGTGTGCACTTTGCCCTCACTTGGAGAGTCTGATGTGCAATAAGAGAATTTTAATCCCATTTATTGACCTTTCTGAGGAGTGAAGGGAAAGAGGGGAGGGGGAAGCATACACACCTGCAGGTTATTTCCTTTAAATAAACTACTTTAAGATAATGGAGATGAAATGGAAGTAGTATAATACCCATTGCCAGGAGCTTTGTTGACAAGTCATGCAGTACATGGCATCCGAATCCAACAGGGAACTGTTGCCACTGAAATGAACAGTATTGACAGGGGGTCATGGAGCAGTGAGTACTGTTGATTAGAGGTATAAGTCTTAAGATGGCATCAGGAAAAATGTTCAGTGACCAAACCAATCTGCTAAATGAGCTTTCCTCCAGATGCGTATAACGTTATTCTTTTAAAGCTGAATTTGCATTCAGGTGCTTTAGCTTAGCTGTTTTTGAAGGTGCTGGAAGCTTAGAGACTGTCTGTGGGAAGATAATTTAGAACAAAGTGTTCATGCGAGCATTCATTTAGCATGAAAAAATACCTGCCTGGTATTTGAAAATGGAACTACAGGGGAATCCAGAAATAAGGTGCAAGAAGCGTTAACTAATGTTGGTGATAGGTAACTGATTACTATTTAAAGGGCATTCCTAGCCCACTGATGTGAGTGGTAGCTTTTCACATGTTTGGCTGGGTCTTTGGTGAGCACCATCCCCAGCCTGTAGAGATCATTTAAACAATGTGATTAGATACTATTTAAGGCAGTAGACTCCTAAGCAATTGCATTGTCTATGACATACCACATTTATGCCTGTTTAAGTATGACAGACTCTTTATTCTTTTATGAAATTCAGTGAGAGTTTTGGTATGTAAAAATTAAGACTGGGATATTTTAATCATATTAGAGATGGGTGTCTTTCTGGCCCTACTTCCTTCTGGTTATATCTTGCTCAGAGGAGAGAAAAATACATGTTGCAAGCTCAGGTTTAACCTATTTGTGTATTGCTGTCACATATTTCTGTGTACTATCATTCAGTCCTGAAAAAAAAAAAAAAGAAAACCAAGCAGAAAAACCCAAGCCAAAACTACAAACCTTTTTTTGGTAATGAAATCTTTTTCAACAACAGAAATTCTTTCTCCTTCAAATTCTGTTTATGCTGTACTGTGCCCTGATGCTTACTGATGTTGAGAAACTCATGGCTCTTTTATGATCTAAAGCAGATCTGAACATAACATTCCAAAGATGAAAGCTGCATGAGCAGCAGCATGGAGTTCCTGGCAGAAATCTCTGCTCTCAGTATCCTCTCTCAGCAGAAATGTTTTCAGCTACAAGACCAATTTATGCTCTTCACAACTGAGTAGTGAAAGTGCCTACTTCCAGATAAACTGCAGTACTGTGCAGATGTGATTACGTTGTTATATGTGGCAGGAGACTTTCATTGGTCATGTTAGCATCTTCTATTTGTTCTATAGAAGTTTCAAGCATAAAGGTAAGTTACAGGTTTGAGCTTCAAATGTTTCTTGATGGACTACTGCACATAAATGTCCTTATTTTCTCATGTTTTCTGTTAAAATTTACTCTGCTAAAAGCTATTAATTCAGAATAAGTAAAAAAGCAGTATTTGGTATTAAACTTATAATACAATGTTACATCATTGGTTTTGACGTGTTTCATGATTTCAAGATCTTTTTGTAAGACAGCTTTTCATTTCTTTTAAGTCTGACAGATGAACATATTCTTTGTTATGACAAAGTACCAATGCTCATGTCTAAGAAAGATACTTAAGTGATGGGAAATGTTAGAAAAGATTTCCATCCCCACACAAGGAGGTACAAAAGCTACACTACCAGAATCTGCTGTGCTCACATGTAAAAATAGTTCTTGTTCAAATACTTTGAATTCCCACATTTGCTGCTTTTTTATGGTAACCATTCTAATAACAGCTAAGCTCATCCTTGAATAGTACTTGTTGAAAATTCAATAGCGCTGATAACGATGTATTTCCCTTAGACTGAGTACACATAGGCAAGAGGAATTCTGTTGTTCCCACATCCTGTTTTGTCCAGTGTTTTGGTATCTTAGAGCTGGCATCTGAGAAACACATGAAGTACCCAGTATAAGAAACTATCAACATAGCCTTTAGCAGCTATCCACAGGCACTAGTCCCATATACATCTCTGCAATCAAAACTACATCTCTTATTTCAGCTATGATATACAGCATTGAATCTCTCAGTTGCTGTAGCCAGGAGAGAAAAATGTGCTCAAAGCTGTCTCTTCTTTTTTTTTTTTTTTAAGGGTAACACACTTCAACAATCAAAGGGTGAAACCAGCCAAGAAGTCACACAGAACTGTATTTAAAATCATTGTTTTGGAAGTACAGGGGGTATTTTTGTGTGGGTTATGTGTAGGAGAAATCCCCTTAACTAAACGCGTTAGAAAAGTGGAATGAATGTAAAATTCAACAGTTTAATTGGATCCTGAGGAATTATCTTGGAACCTGCAAACTGGCTTCGAAGCCCTGCTAACCAACTTACCTTCATCAAATGCTTAAAGGCTTTCCTCACATTGTCAAAATCATTTTAAACAAGCACAGCGCTCAGCTACATACCATGACAAATTTTGCCTGTAGGCTGTTAAAATGGCTTTAAATTAATGAGGCATGCTCTTAAAATATATATATATATATATATATATACTTTGTACATATTTCATCCCCAGCTGGCTCCCTCCTCCTTAGCTGCTTTCTTTTTGCTCCCCCCCCCCTTTCTTTTTTTTTGTTTAATTTTAGCCTTTATATCTTTGGTGTGTAGCAGGGTTATTAATTAATGAACTTGTGTATTCTCCGTCTTTAACTGCTGAAGAGTGAGGAGCTGTCAATCAAAGGGGACCCTCCTGAATTAGGTGAATGCTGACATTTGGCAAGTGTCATCACAGTTGCCTGCCCATGCCCTTGTAATGCTCTAAGCCAGTGACCCTTCTCTCTTTGTCACACATTTCAGGTAGCACTCAGAGCTCATTGTGTGCAACTGAGGTCAACCGCCAACCAACCAAGTGCTCTGTCCTGCTCACACAAAGCTTTCCCTGAAGGCAAGAGAAAAGAATAATAAAAGGGGGAAATGGCCTGCTGAGCAAAGACTCTGAGTCTTTTATAACAGGAGGTCGTTTTTGATTATAGGAAGGAACCTTCAGTGGCCATGGAAACCAAAATGCCACACAAAAGCCAAAGGGTGCTTGGGAGGTAAACAAGATAGATGAAAGGTGATGGTGCTTTTAATCTCCCCAATCAATGCGCTTAGGTGGGTGACTTTAATTTAATCCATGTCTGATTAACCCTCTCCCTTTGTTTACACCGTTATAGGAGTTTTTCTCCTGTAAAATTTTTAAACAAATGTTAAAAAATTCCAGGAGAGGGCTGTTCGCTGCAGTGTTTTCATCCTATTCACCCCCCTGATGTAATCATGGATGTTCTCATTATCCACATAAATGCCTAATCCTTCTTACTCCTGCTAAGCTTATCCTCAGTGCTATATTTTTGAATGAGAGAGTGAAAGTTCTTATACAAATACAAATTCTTGTGACTTTCTTTTTTGGACACCTAGCAGGATGAAATAGCTGGAAACAATGGTGCTCAGTAAGGAAACCTTTTTCATCAAGAAGCCTTGGAGCAGTTTGGTGAAAACTGGTTTTGATTTGGTTGAGTTATGAGCCCTTGAAAACTGCACATCATACACGCTTAGAGATTTTTAAATAATAGCAGTGGATTTAATGACAGCTGAATGTTCGGAAGGAAGTGCCGTGCATGTGTGCACGGCTAATTTACCTACTTACTGAAAAATATACTCAGGGGTAGTGCTCCAAATGAACCCTGCCACATTCAGTTTGGGTTGGCTTGCATGACTGAAAATTTTCTCCAATTGCTGAGCAAAATTTTCCACAATAATGAGCATTTTATGGATGAGATTTCCAAAAGCCAGCCCCCATTTAGGAGAGCAGACACCATTCAGAAAAGAGAAGGGACAGAATAACAAAAAAAGGCCCAGAGGAATTTGTGTTCCTACTCCCTTGAGGCTAAGGGGTACACTCAATAAAGACAGGTATTTAAGCATTTATGTCAGTGTCATTATAGTATGAGCTTTAAAACTTCTCTGAATTTTGACCTGGCTTCTGAATGAAAATAAAATGCATACCCATTCACTTAGCCTGAAGAAAGAGAAGGATGCTTCAAAAAAACATTTGCAGAAGGAATTGCCTAAGCTCTCTGGCTTCAAGTTATCTTAGCCTTTTCTAGAGCTAAGATGTCTTTGCTACGGCAGCCAACAGCTGCCTTTATCCAGCCAAAACCTATGTCCTTTCCTGAGAGTGAGGCTACCTGCCTAAATTCCTTGAAAAAGAAAAGCAGAGTGTAGCGTTTCCTTTTAAAATACAGTCACAGGAGGCACTGTAGTTGATGCTGGTCACTTTTGCCCACTCTTACTGCTTGCCCAGAGAGCAGGAGAGCTGAGTACCATGGCTTCCTCAATGCCAGGATGCTCAAAGCTCATCCCCAGCTGCCCAGTCAAACAGGTTGAGCCTGGGAAGAGGATATTGCTGGAGGTGGGCTGCTCCTGAGAAACAAACATGGTGACTGGGGGCCCAGAGACTAAAAAAATGCATGTGAGCTCCAAACTTCATAACCCTGGCAGAAAGATAATATCCCTCTGAGAAGATGTTACTTTAACTTAGCAGGGAGTGATGAGCCTTGATGCTGGGTCAGAGTAGTTCTTTGCTTGAATTGCAGTAAAACTGCAAATACTTCAGGAGCTTCAAGGTAAAATAAGAAATCATAAAAGAAAAACAAATCCCACACTCAGCTTTCTGAGGTACAATTTCAGCCTAATCAAACAAGTCTCTCTAAATCCTGGGTTTTTTTGTTGGTTTTTTGTTGTTTTTTTTTATCTTGCCCTAGTTCCATAAAGTGTCACAATGCCTGATTTTTAATAAACCTGCTGTTATTCACCTGGGAGGAATGTGAGATGCATAGTTAAGATCCTAATTATGGACTTCCCAGTAGTTATGCATGGAAATATCTTCCACTAAGCTGGAAGATGGCATAGACAGACATCAGAGAGAGCTCCTCAGCCTAAGCAAGTCTTTCAAACAGGGTAAAAAACATTTTGCTTTTCATTGAATCCATGGTTATTTGTTGTTGAAAAGGCTGGATACAAGAACCCTACTTGTGCCTAAGCTAGAGGCATTCTCTCTCTCTGAGTCAACTTGCAGTTAAATAATTTATATAAAATGGAGCAGCACAAACAAGCAGGACGTGAAAGGGGCTGACATAAATACTGACTGCTTTAATAACATTTGACAGGTGGAAATCAATTTTTGCCTGTTATTTTTGGGTGAATCTTCCAACATTTGAGTTGCCAGCTTTTCTGGTATATTTTAAAATAATTTATTTAAAAAAATGAAGCAAAACAAAACACTTGTACACTCAATAACTTGAACACATCAGAATAAATACATTATTTAGTACATGCTCCACTCTGCTGGAAGAGTCCCTAAGTTGCAGTGGATAAACCTGGGATTCTGAAAAAGGAGATGATTGTTTCTTTCTTCACCGTGTGGTCTGATTGTGACAGCCACAGCATCTGAACCCAGACAAATTGCTAGGGCTCTGTGAAGTTACAAGTGTCCATGACTGCTGCACACTAACAGAAATGTTACGTGACCAATTTAGGCAACCCAGTGATTACCATGAAATATATTGACGTTTTCCTTAGGCTTAATGTGGATACTTAGCCAAACCACTTTGGGTGAGCAATTGAGCTTTATCATACTCCTTTCCTCTTTTCCCAGCTCAAAATATAAATACCCCTGTATTTATGCTAGTGCAACACCACCTACTAGGAGGCAAGGGTAAGAAAGCTAGCTTTTTTAAAAATTAATGAGCCTTGGAAGGAAATGAAGCTGAGAGAGTATGGAAGCATATGAATTTCTCCTATACAGAAGAACCAACATTTATTAAACTGTAACCTTACACTGTTCAAAGCTCCAGTCCACTTCAGCAGTAGATTAGTATGAGTCAGGACTATAGAGTTCAGGGTACGTGTTTTTTTCCTGCCTGGAAAAATATATTGCTACGTCTGCGAGTAACAAGATTAACAAAGATATTTGCTTTGTCACAGTGACATGTACCTACCTGCACATTAGGTGCAATAACATAGGGTCTAGCAATAGTCTGAGAAAATGTGAATTTATATTCAGTACTGCATTTGGGGGCCTTTGCAACGATAGCAGTTGTAGGCATAATCTTATTTTTAGACTGTCAGATGATGGGAATCACATTACCTGAGCAAGTTAAGAATGGCAGTCTGGAGTTTTTAGTACTAGTACATATTAGAACTTAGAAGAGGTGAAAATAAATGTTCTTACAAGTAATTCTGTTAAGCAAGGTATCTTTTAATTATTCTTTTTTCAACCTTTTTACTGAAAATGATTAAAAATTTACTACCCATTTATAGCTGTCATTTAGATGTAAAGAGGTGGAAAACTATTGGAAACCAATAGATTATATTATTCATAGATATTTGTTTCCCAGATATGATCATAACTCATGTTTTGTACAGAAGCGTGTTACTTATTCTTTCTCATCCATCAAGAAACAGTCTCAAAGATCTCATGCTCCAGGTCAGAATGCTAAACAAGAGCATATTGACTTGGATTCCTCTTGTTCTGTACATTTCAGACTTTTTCTCATTTTCAGTCTTCTACTGAAGGACATTTTTATGCAAAATATTTCTATCAATATATCTGTATTAAATGAAAGTTGATTGCTATTGTTAACTGTGTTCATAGTTATATAGGCATAGATGTTGTTCCTAATACCATCTTGGTATAAGCTATACACGTACAACACAGATCATAGAGAAATGACTGTACCTATGCTAATGAACCATTTTACCTGAATTGCCAAATGTAAGTAAAGAAATACAATCTTACAACTGTGTTGAAAATTGCTGTCAGATATGATGGATTGTATTTCCTGGTTCTCTGGTTGGTAAATGTGTATTTAGTTGCCATTTGATAATCAGCTGTACATATTATGCTTATTGCATCATCATTCACTAAGGGGTGATCAAATAATTTCCATGACAACACAGATCCACCATTAGCAATGGAGATTTTTGAGGAAACCCACTTGCTTTGTCTTTGAAATACCAGTTGTACAAAGGGTGATTTATCAAAAATAAGAAAGACTAAGTCTGTATTCTTTCCAGACAGCCACTGTTGATATTTTAAAACAACATTAATAAATAAGTATAGTCGTGCTGATGGAATTCAGTATCTGAAAAAGTTCTGCTTCTCTGAAGAGTATACAGGATGTGTAGTCCCAGAATCAGGATAATGTTCAGGTGCTAGTCACAAGAGGGAGCTCAGGGCTTCACAGCTGTAGTAGAAGTAGATCTGGACTGAGAAGCAAAATTTGAATGGTTTGTAAAATTATAAAGAATTTATAAATCAATAGCAATTTTCAGTTCTTGAACTATATTAATTCATCTTGGACTTGTCCTAGAATGTCAGTCTTTGGTATCAAAGAAGAGAGAGTTTTCCCTCTCAGCTAGTATATAGCTCACTTTTTCTGTCTTTATCTTCCCAGTTCTTCACGTTTCTATTTCTTTGTCAAAAGTAAGGTTAAAACAGAGTGGAAGCTGACAGTTCATCACAGAAGTTTAAGGCAAAAAAATATTGTTATGCTATAACTAGTCTTAAAAGTGGACCAGAACCAAACTTTCAGTCATAAAATAATGATGTTTGAAATTATATGATAAATAAAATACAGAAACTTGGATATGGTATTTTTCAAAACATTTTTGTTGCACACCTTTGATAACTTGGTTTGATAACTGCACATTGTAGATAGATAAAATACAGAACATCACAGCCATAGGCATCATATCAATATGTACCCAAATGACCAGCTACGCCAACAGCCTGGGAAGCAGAGAGTGGACAAGCTGTTATTTTTTGAATTAACACATTTGCTTGGAAAATTTTGGTTTAAAAAATAATGGCATTTTTGAACTGAGGAACTGATTAAATTGTATTCAGGTGAACTTGAAAACAAGGGTATTAAAGCTAGGAATCATGACAACTAACATGAAATTTTCAAGAAATCCACGCATTTCAATCTTTGGATGTACATGCTACTTAAATTGTGTTACGTCTGCCTCATAAGTTATATCCTGGGAAAAAGTATGATTTGGGCATTTCAGTGTTTGTTGTTCCAGATTAAACTAGGCTGATACTTTAACAATGGTTCTTTTCTTATTTGCCTCACCCACTCCTGGTGTTGCCTGGGTGATGTAGTTGTTCAGATGTTGTAGGCTTCTTTCTTCTTTGAGTATTTACTTATCAGTAGTGCAAAGCATGTGGAATGGACTTGCTTGCTGAATTGGATTTACAACTGTTTTTCTTCCCCAGAACAGTGGAAAGTAACTGAAATGGTCATATATTTCTTCTTGCTTCCTGCAGATTCTCTTATCTTCACATCTCTTAACCTACACTACCTTTGTGATTCTCTCTGTCTTTTTCATGCTCTGCATTCCCTGTCATGTTTCCCACTCATTCTTGCAAAGCCTACATTATCCTCATCTCTTGGCCATCTGTTTTGAAAATGTTTGATGAAATGGCTAATTCAAAAAATAGAGTCTTTACTTGTCTCACTAGAAAATGATTTGTGATGGTTGCAGATAGAAGCTGATGCCAATAACCTCTGGAACACCTTTCCTAGGAAGTTCTGAATCCCATGACAGTTAATGTGCTGATATCAAGTTTAGGTCTAAAAGGTACACTTTCACCTTATAGTCATGGACTTGGGATCAAAAATACTTGTTGAAATCCTATACTCTGCGTTATGCAGTTGTGCAAATTAAATAAGCCTAATGATCCCTCATAGCCTTATGAAGATTTGCTATTTTGATTTAAAAGGGCCACAGTGTACTACCATTTTCGGTAAGCACAAAGTCAAGTATGTTACTAAGGCAATTTATAAAGGGGGGGGG